CTAGGTCTGCCAACTCCTCGGGCTAAAATTTTATAGCTCTGGCTTGCAATTTAAATCTCGTGGTACAGAAGGAGCACACTGCATTCGGTCTAAACCCGATTCACGTGCCACCAGGCCAAAAGACAACCAATCTTTAAGTCGCATCGACTAATTGGAGCGGTTTTAGTTCCCTGAGTGAACATAATAGTTATTTGAACTTGTATAGATTAGTATGATTCTGTTAGGAAACAAATAAGTCTCGCATTACAGTCTGCTGCTTACATGAGTGCGTAAGAAATTTCTTTGTTGGTGTACATTCAGTAGACAACGGATAAGTCCTCATTCCCTTTTCCCCGATGTTAGTTTATTGCCTTATTTGGTCAGAAGCTTAATATGATGCCTTGCCTGTCCAGGGTTCGAAACAACGCACGTGCGGGCATCAAAGAGGCTGTTAGTTGTTTATAACGACTGTGGGTGTGCGAGCGAAAAGGTTCTCTGGCCCGATTTCAAGATTACTTATGCAGCAAAAGCACTAAAATTTGCCGCTCTTACCCATTTATTGTCGAAATTTATCTGTTCCAAACCGATTAGCCCACCATTGTGGTGTCTGGGTTGTTTGGCGTCGCTTGGTACATCCGCTACTACAGCTTGCCTAATGCATTTTGATCAAAACCGATTCCTACAGCGGACTGGTTGTGTCTGTTTACAGAGACGGGATGGATTTAGATAGCGGAAATTTACATCGGGTGTACAAAATAACTTTCACGTGAGTGGGTAGAGTCTTGAAGTCCCGTTGTATGAACTCCTGTGATTTTCTCGTGATACCGAGACTTTTCGCTTCAAACTTTCCCAACTGGTGCTGGTTGTTCATTTCCTTAATAAGATCAAAGTAAACGCAAGCGGTTTTAATGGAAAACAATTACCAACTGATGCTTCTCTTGACCCTTAGGCTACCTTCGCAATTGAATCAAATGATTGACCAAAAAATATAATTATCGTACGCAGTCATAGGCTTGAAGAAACGTCAAGTCTAGGTGCCCCATGTATACCGAAAAGCGAGACACAGCAATATCTCAGTTAGATGTCAGGCATAAAAAGTCTACGATTGATACAAGATTCACGTAGGATTTTCAGAGAGTTCCGAGTTATGCCCACCAACGGCAGGCAATTGATATCAGCATTTGGGTTGGAAGTTTAGAAGTACCTATTATAGCAGTTGTCCCTCAGGGTGGACGCTAGGTGATAAAGTTTGGCAGTACTGAGTGAAATCTAACCCAACTGATTGCAGTTTTCGGTATTGGAATGCAGTTTATCTTTATGGATATCTTCTATGGACGCTCAAGTGATTTGATTATGTAGTAGTGATATAATTCATACGTGATAGGATTATTCCGTGTAGAGTCAACTGCGTGTTGATTACAGACTGAGGAATCTGACCGAATCAATCCACCATAGACGCGCTTGGGAAAGCCGCTATTCATTAGAGCTGCAAACAACGCCGTTGCGCAGTTTATCTAACATATAGAATCCTCTTGGGCAGTGATGCTTAGCTCCCTCTCATTGGAGGTAAAGTGAATGATGTCTTTGGATTCTCCTGATCCCTTATTAACTAATTTTCTCAAAGTATCTGAAAGAGGATAAACAGCAAAGTGTATGAACACCAATAGCAAGGTAGAGGAGGAATTTGGATGGCATGTGGTGTGATGCAAAGCACTGCGGTCAGTTACAACCCAGAATAAAGGTGACTTTAAAAGTAGTGGTGGTATTAAGCATGCTTTCAGGCAAGTCAATGCTTATAAAATAAATGAGCCAATAAAGTCAATTGTCTTTTGAAGTGAAATCATATTATCATTGGAGTTAAACAGTCTATGGCTTTTAGAAGATGACAAGTAACTGGTAGATGCATTACTAGAACAGACAGTACTGAACTCCAATTTTGACAGTGAAACTCCTGTTAGAAGTTCTCTGGTGAAAAATTATTGAAAATCGGTTCTCGTAGCTCCGGTGAACTGAATTTCATTTCGCCTGTTGGCCGAGCTTGGCAATTCGTTTGCAAACGTTTCATCACCAGCAGAGGTGACAGCACTGATGATGTCCCCTCGGCAGGTGATGAGATATTTGCAAGCAAATTATCAAGCTCGGTGAGCCGGCGAAATGGAAGTTCTCTGACGTTAATTGATATCAGTTGAGTAATCGTGCAACTTTCCTTCTGTTTGATTGGTAACTGTTTTCTGATGAACACATTCTCGCATTGTTTTGTTTTCACATTTCAATTGCACAATCCACAGCTGAGAAAATCAGTCCGTCTAAATCCACCGAATTGTCCCAGCTCAGTGAAACTATTCAATGCAATCGGAAGCGATTTTAAAATGATCCCGGCCTCAAAACTCCCGCTGGTATGAAACTGTGACGTAAGCAAATGCAATGTCTGGTTAGGAGCACATCTCACGTACTTGTGTAGATTGTTCTGTCCCGGCCATGAGACCCACGAACCAGACGAGGCGATCAATGGACAGACAAGTATAGGCAACAGAAAGACAGACCAACTGACCCCGAGGACGGAGACACACATTGTGTACAAGTTGGAGCAGTGTTTCATCCGGCACTTTGGACAAATTGTTTCTAGACAGATTTAACTCGTACAGACCATGAAGCGGACGCCACTGAAGCACCAGGTAATTTATATCCTCCACGGATAGACAACAGTCCTGAAAAGTTGAAAATCGCACAGTGGATAGTCATTGATTACATAGAATGTTCAGTTTACGAGAAGCAAACACTTGTGTGTTCAATCATATGCTTGTCCCATCCACACTGTTATTCACTTAACGCTTCGAATAACAGCAAAATCATTAATTGGTTCACTCTTTTGCCATCTTCTTTGCGTTTTTTCAGGCAATGTGAATAGCAGAATGCTTGAATACGGTAATTTAGCAACCAGAAATTTCCCCATCTTGTTTACTTTTTGTGATCCAAACCGAGCACATTACCTCCTTTTTGGGGGTAATATTGTGCTCAACTACAGGATTATCACCACAGACCAGCCATAATTCCATCTGTCTGTTTGTGTATTACAAAATAATNTAGACATCTTTTATTACGGTGGGCGAAACCTTTCCCCAGCCAACACTTGAATTATTACACAGAAATATTGATTGATTCCCGTTTAACTCTATGGTGGGTCAGAAAAATGTTGTATAACTGCACTGTGTAAAATGTGTTTTAATGGTTTTCAGTGCTCGACTATTTAACCTTTTGAATGCGTTGACCAGTTGGAATATCGGGGCTCACGAGATGAGGATTTTATCGGCAAAATTTGTCTCATACCGAATAAAGGAAGGTCAAATTGAGAAGCTCTGAATCACTGAGTAGATTTATTGTTTAATTGTAGCTGAACCTTGTAAAGAACTCAAGTATCCGTCGACGTTTAATACGTCAAACACAGTGAACGCATTAGAAAGATATCGCGTACTGTACTGCACTTCTGAGATTCACACCGGATAGACCAAATGAGTAGCCCAATGGATTGAAAGCCCCAGTGATCCTGGATTCGGATTTCAATAAAGTAAGCGACATACACGACTGATGCTCCCTAAAACTGATTGCTTTCTCAACCTCAAGCTCTCACATATATGAATTGCGTTTCTCTATTTGTTTTATTGGGCAGGTTCGCTATGGTATAAGATGCAGATATGCACGCAGCAATGGCAAGCGGCGTACAGATCCCGTGGGTCATGTACATCCGTGATCAAGTGGAGTTGATCACGACCGTCACCCAACTTAGGGCGTTTTAATCACACGACAGCCTTTTGATGGACTGCTTACCAGTTTGTGGAAAAAACTTTTTGTACACCAATACATTTGAATGGAAAGGAGACAAGAAAATAAAATAAAGTAAAACAGGATGTAGTGTAGCATGTAGTTCATGCACAAATATGGTAGATATGTGTAGGCACACAAAACAACCAGAGCTTCTTTACTGATTTATCCAAAACAATCAGCCAGTTACAATATGAAATGAAATCGATAAGCGGAATTCAGTGTAAAAATGGCGGATTTGTTTGAAACCAGTGAATAGATTACTAGTTCTATCGCGTAGCTCACAGCGAGGCATACAAATCCAGATCAAGTGTACCATTGCCCTAAAAGTTTAGGAATTGTGTGAATACTGCCGCGCGTATTGTAAATACTGTGAAACTGATGGCCCATATAAACCGGGTACATTTAGTCAAGACATCTATGAGAAATTAGGCATTAATTTCAACCGGAGGCACTGAACCAGGACACATTTACTTTGCTATTAGTTACCGGGATTCTGACAGTTGTGATCGAATAACCTTCAAGCACTGTAAACATCGATTTCTGGGGACGTCACCTAGTTATTAATATAATATAATGTATAATTTATTAATTAATATAATCTCTTTTATCACCGGTCTCTTTTCACTTTGGTTAACTTGCACACATTCAGTTGATAGCCAGTTGACGAAGCAACGACAATAATTGGAGAATAATGGACACGGCGAATGGCTTGACAGACAAACAAAATTGATTGTATCAAATCATGTTGGCTTACTGTACAGATAATCCCATTGCCTTAATCCCACATGACGTATCCCCCTGGGCATGAGCAGTGTTCGAACCACCTCCCAGTGAGGTTATAACACAGTTTTGTGTGAATCAACTTGGGAACTGGAAGTGTCCAAAGTCTACAGTTGCTAGATCCCCGATGAATGTGAGTTTAGAATGGAAATATCAAAATTAAACGTTCGTCTAAAAATCGTGATATGAACCAGAATAACTAAGCATTTACTGAATTCGTTGAGATTATATAATCCATTTCCCATCCTGGGTCAACTCATATATGAACTGCCTGCATGCGGGAGATAGAAGGAAAGACTGATGACAAAACAAATGAAGGTAACTTTTCCCGCACCTAACCTCGAGAGGATCCTGAGCCTCGGTCGGATTAGAAATTGAATCAAATGAAAACTCTTCAATCCATCAATCAACAAAATTGGAAAAACCTTCGTTTTGATGAATGCATTTCTATAAGTGAACGACGTAATACCAATAGGCCTAACCTGCAAATTCAGATACTCCAATGGTTGACTCAGCCCATTCAGTAAAACTTTCAAATGCCCAGTCAAATGACAACGGGCTAATCCGAGGCGCTGCAAATATCGAAGAGATATCAAAGCACGATTCAGTAGACGACAAGCGGCCACTGTAGCCGTGGGTGTTGGCCCAGTTGAGGTGGTTGATTGTGTTGCAGTGCCGGGGATGATAGGCGATTGGGCGGGAAACACACTGGCTGTCCGGGTAGTTGAGTGAATAGGTGTGAATTCGGGCGGAGGTGGAATGCACGCGGGCAGGGAGCAAGCCCTGAGGTTTCTCAGACTGATTAACCACCCGAGAGCGGAAGGTAGAACCACAGCCAGACTGCTTCCCAACGAAGGATCCTCCATCTCAAATTGGGTGATTGACTAAAGGATGAGTGTAAGAATGAATGAAAACAGGACCACCAGATGCATTATTAAGTTTGAAAGCAATAGTTCCCTAAGAAAAAGCAATAAATGGCCAATTCAATGGATACTTTATGACACAAAGACCTGGCGGAGGTTAGGTAGTGATACTGGTGGGGTTCGAACATGTATATAACCTCCGGGGTGATGTATGGATGGCCAGCAAAACCTAGCTTCCAACATTTATGTGATTTGACTCTCAAAGCAGTGTTGTATCATATATCTATGATCTTAATTCCCTTGCTTCTCGCAAAATGCTCCCATACGATCAAGCACTTCGGACAGCTTCTGTTGAGGAAGTCCAACTCACCGCCTTCCATCAAAGTAAAAGGACGAAAGTCAACATTCGGGCTGCAACTAGGTAGATGAATCACTGGCGGTTAATCTAGCGGAGTTGGCTAAAATCACCCATTCCAAACGAACCGAGAAAAGATATAAGAGCCACACACACACAACTTCCTGGTTGTAGGGCTGGGCACCGATCCGATTGAACATTTTAACGAATTGGATATCTTAGACATTTGACAGCCTAAATGGTTTGTAACCTAACAAACTGGACACCAGCCCCTGATGGGTTGCGATTTTCACCATCGCCTCATTACTTTGCGGGTCAGATTTCGGCTAACCAAAGGCTCCTTTTGTGACTCACTTAAGAAATTTCACGTGTGTTGACCTGGGGAACTTGACAGTATTCAGTAAATAATGGATCGCTTTGTTTTTATAAGTTTTTTTTACCGAGATCCGAACTTAAACAAATGTGATATATATTTCACAATAAGTAATGTGTGAATGGCTGTACAAAATTTCCCTGGAAGCATACGACCAGGTTTGCGGTTCTTGCCGCTCGTTAGGAATGCATATTCAGTAATCTTTTGTCCGTTCATTCTTATACTTGTACCCAGGAAAGGTATTTTCGTCACAATAACCTTATTTGCAATACCGGGTGACTATTGGATAGACAGCTCTTTCAGATACGCATGCCTAACAAACGGCAAGAACCGCAAAAACCGGTCGTGTGCTTCCAGGGAAATTTTGTCCAGTCATTCACATACTAATTATTATGAAATATTCTACAAAGACCATCAGGTCACTTTTGCTGCGGTTAGCAGCATCTAACCCACTTACAAAACATCGAATCATAGCATTGATTCTTCAATGGCTCTGAAAGAGCCGGCTATCCAATAGTCACCTGGTTTTGCAAACAAGATAATTGTGACGAAAGTTCCAGAAAAGGCTATATATATCTATACATATACATACATATACATATACAGAGAGAGAGAGAGCGGTGTACGTGTGTGTGTGTGTGTGTGTGTGTGTGTGACAGAAAGCCTTTGTGAGTCACTTGTAATCAGACCAATGTATCCTAACAGATCATGCTATGAAAAGTCAGTTAGAGTGCTATTAGGCTCAGTGTATTGTGGGATTCGTTTGGATTAAGATACACCCAGTTCCAATCACAAAGGCGAACTTACTAGCGGGTCAAATAGTCGAATCAGACTGTACGGGGGGAAATGAATTTCAGGCAGTCGTTGTAACAATAGCCGATTGCATGAGAATCGAAACGGAGTTAACCATTGCAGTGCCAATCCGAGAGCCACCTCATCCACCGTCATATTGCAGTCCAGATGCACAGTAACGGGTTCTNTCTGTTATTTAGAGAGATACAGTCAGGGATTGTAAAACGCCATTCACAAAGCAGTGTGTGTGTGTGTGTGCATGTGGGCTACTGTCACATATTGCTAAACGTGATCCAATGACCGCATATTCGACAAACAATGTTCAGTTCTGTGATAATCGTCTAGGAAGACTTTGCTCAGTATGATGATGGCTAACTAGGGAGAACAACAAAGGAACACATCAAAGTTGATGGGTACTAAACCAGCATATTAAGAGATAAATATGATATCATGCTGTATTTGTTTAATATATATATTTGAATAAAGAACACATTAGCACATTGTTGTACAATTTATTTCCGGAAAAATTTCTCTATCTCTTCAGGCACGTGCTACAGTCAAAGAATATACTGAAAAGTATCAAGTAACATCTACGGCTGATGAGCTGGTCGTGTTATCTGTCTCCATCTTTTTTACCAAGGCAGGGCTAGAGTTACAAATAACTCTTTATGTTTGCACAGTTCAGGCTTCCATTGTTTTATAGAAATCGCCTTTACAAACTGGAACAACCAAGAGTTTTGCGTGGTGAGGACACTTTAAAATACTGTGGTAACGTTCACTTGATGCCCAGTCTCTAACAAGTGACGAGCGATCGATTACGATGGTGTGCGTCGTTGGGTAGACCTTTGACGTTGATCATTCAGGTGTGATTCAGTCACCACTTTGTTAGCCCACACAGGGATGTGTTCGTCTACCGTTTGTCTAAGCTGCCGCTCGGTTCTGCCTAGGTAGGTGGCCGAGCACCCACAGACGAATTGGTACAATTGATGAGATTTAACATACTGTGGGAGCAGTTGCTTAACTGGAGGAGCCGGTATTCTGTCACATGTGTAGACTAAAACTGTTTGGGCAGTGTTGAATGTTCGTTTGATGGACGAGCTTAGGCGGTGCTCCAACAAATTACTCACATAATCACTCTTGAACGTTAGTTGTAGAACAACCTTACACTTCGGTACGGATATCAATCGCTTTACCTTCGGACGTGCAATGCTATACTTTTTCACGAACGAGCTCGTAACCATTATCCTGGAGAGTGCTGTTCAGTTTTTGCATTTCATCTGCGATATTATCAGGCGTACATATTTTTGTCGCACGGTCNGTTTGTAACGGATGAGGACGAAGCTGATGAAATGCAGATATTGCCTCGTTTACGTGTATTTTTGATGAACCGATTGACCAAGACTTCCATCGGTCCTCCGTTGCAATTTTACCTCCAGGAAGGACAAGGTATTATTTTTTTCAAGGTCTGTTGTCAACTTTGTATTTGTGTTGGCGTTGACAATATTACATATTATCACATATTACATTGGATTGTGGATCCGTCCATTTCATTTTCACGCATGCTGAGGGACCTTTTTGGACTCTACTTTCAAAAACATCCTATCAATGACAATAATATTTCTGACTCGACTCATTTCACCTCAGTTCAGTCTAGTGCATTCTTATTTCCAATTCAATTCAATTCAAACCAAATCGAGAAGTTGTTTTATTGCAACATCTGATGCAAATTCAGCTGCCCAAGCAAACGTGTCACTGTTAATTCGTGATTCCGGTAGTGTGGTTCATCCGCTCTTTAACATCTTGCCACGTTTATCCCGAACAAGTTTAGGTTTGATTTACCGAATGAGTATCGATTTGAAATTGGTGGTTGTCTGTCCTAAAGATTCGATAATATGCACGTACAGCAACCGTTAGTTAACTGCATATTTTTTGGTAGTTAATTGCATATGAGGTTAGATTGTTGCCTTGTATTTCTTGTTTGTAGGCTGTTTTGATTTTTTTCGTTTGACAAATTGGGCTGGACAACGTTCAATCATCGAAAAAACTAATATCTTTCAGAAGAAGTATCCTGAACTGGTGATAAAAGCGTTTTGTTAACAAATTTCCCAGTTCGGTGACGATATGAAAATGAACTTGAGCAATTCGAGTGGCAGCGCTGCATAGCGGTGTTTGTCATAGAGACTATTTGACTGTGCAGAAACATGCAACACAACAGACGCGTAAACAACGGCAGTTGTTGTGAGTTTTATGTAACTTTCGAATGTGCGAATGGGGGTTAGGACAAATGAAAATGAACGTAAAGATTCCGATCAACATACTGTTTTCGGACTTCCTTCTATAGAAATAATTATAAAACCCGATCACTTTCCTCCATCTACCTATTGATAACTTTACGGAAAAGTGTATCCAAATGGAAGCAGTATTTTTAACAGCTGCGCTCTTTTTCCAGCGAAATTGACAAAGCTGAGCATACACAATCCGCTTGGTTGTTTAAGGTTGTTCCTGGTCGCTCCTAGACAACACTGAGAACATTTATCAACACATGTTTCATTTACAATATTTAAAGTCAGTGTAGAGATCCTCTGTGTAATGCGGACACGGAAAATGCTGTCNAATCTTGTGTCAGACGTTGCGTTCCGACTCGGGAGGCGCAAAACAGGACGTTCAAGTTGGGTACAAGCCATCTCACACCTGTCTAACTGTCCGAAAGAGACAGGCTGTTTTAAACACAGTGTGGCATTTCTACGTGCGTTGATGACGAAACAAATTTGGGTGTTTTGAATGACCGACACATGTGTACACCTTTCACTCGAACCTAGTTTGCAAAAGATGGATGCAAAGAAAAGTGATTCACACAGGTCAGTCAGAGGCATCCGGTTCCCAAAAACCGAGAATTATTTCTGTTATTCGCTCTACTGTTTCAAACAAACAGACCAACATTCAAGTGGTCATCAGTCAAACAGCTGTTTTCAGTTGATGTTGTTACTGTTTTTAGCACAACACTTAGAACCTAAAGATGATCGACTGAAAATTTTCACTTTGGCTTAGTCCGATCAATTGTATTCCTGTTGGAGATATTTTATGCTCTCTGTTTAGGTTGATACCATTTTACTCTTCAGTTCATACTGAATAATAGTCTTTAGTGTTCACAGGCTTCATTGTATTTATCTCACATCATACTCGAGCATTGCAAATTGACCAATTACGGCTTCAAACAGAAAATATAATAGACAAACATCTGATTGTCACACATTCGTATTTAGCATCATTTTGGAAGCTGTGACCAAAAGCATAGTTGCAGTTATCATTTGCATTACAACCACTACTACTAATACTTATCACTACTAATATTACTACTACTACCACTACTACCACTACTACTACTATTACTACTACTACAGCTACTACAACTACTAGTACTATTACCATTACTATTACTGCTACTACTATTACTACGGTTATATTCCCGAAAGGCAGTGCTGGTCGAGGAGAGTTCTTCACTGCTGAATACAGATTGAAAGTCACTAATTTTGCATGCATAACACGAAAACCTTATCAGAAACATGCCGTCGCAACACATCGCGACACGTAGAGTAATGGGTAGAGCAGGCAGTGTTTATTCTTCCCAAACATATCACTTGGTCGTTGATGGTCTTGTTCTATTTTTAATCACGGAAAGTTACCGACTACTCACAAGTGAGTAGTATCCCACAACACTTCTCCCCCCGGCGGAAAGGATCTCTGCATGCCTTGATCAATTGACGACTGTTTCTTGGATTGTGCTCGCGTTTATCTCTGATTTTCGACTTTTGGCGGCGTCCTATCTGACGTTGTGTTATTGGATTCTGGAATTTCTCTTGTTGGTTTGTTGCGTGTGCTGTACCTTTGCTCGTGCCATGTTGTGAGATCGTTCCAATGTACACGCCGGACTTCGTTCATCCGTTGAATTTTGTACACGGGATGGCGTTCTTCAACTATGCGGTATGGACCTTTCCATTTGGGAATTAACTTCCTCGAGCCAGGGCAGCTCGCAAATCTCCCCAAATGCTGCTTATATTTTACTTTAGATCCAACCGGAAGCACACCGGCCGTCCGTCTAGTTTGTATCCTCGACTTGCGCATTATATCCTCATGCGCCTTCTTCAGGTTATGCCGGGCTTCGCGTCTTGTTTGTTGAAGTTGTTGCGGAGATAAATCGTTTCGCAGCCAAATGCCAACCTCGAGGTCCACTGGCAGCCTCGGAATTCTTCCATACATCAGTTGAAATGGTGTGTGTTTGGTACTGGCGTGCGTGGTCGAGCGGTAAGCTAAAAGTAGGGAAGGTAGGGCCAACTTCCAATCCCCTCCTTTCGCTGCCAGCCATTCTTTGATTGTTCTGCTATTGCGTTCCGTGAGGCCGTTGGTTTGTGCGTAAGAGGGCGTTGTGCGTATCTTTTTGGTGCCTAATTTCTGTAAGCACGTGCGAAATTCATCACTCTCAAAGCACGCGCCTTGATCCGTCAGGATGGCTTGTGGTACACCATGATTCGCTACCACATGCTCCATCACAACTCTGCTTATCGTAGCGGCTTTTTGATCCACGACTTCTACGGCTTCAAGTACAGCGTGAAGTGTTCCGGCATTACAACGATGTATTGGTTGATGTCCTCAAGGGGACATCGGAAATGGACCCATGAGGTCACCTATCTCGGATACTGGTATTGACTGAGTTGGACATTGTGATGGGCGGGAGTCTGACTTGAACAGTTGGCATTTCTCACACGTCAGCACCTGGTTTGTCACATCAGCCTGCATATTTGGCCAATATGCTCTCTGTCGAAGCAGATCGTAGGTTCGAGCGCATCTAGTGTGCTAATTCATGACTTTCTTTGATAAGAATTTGGCGCAGCTGTTTCGGAATGACGACCACAGGGCACCTTCTTCCTGGATGTCGTTTCATTAAGATACCAGCGGCATTCAATAAGGCTGCTTCCATACGGATTACCATGACTTCATGTGTGTACTATGTTGAATGTTTCGGTATTACTTGCCTTGTGAGATTGCCTCGATCACTTTGCAAAGTTCTTGATCCTTGCGCTGTTCCTCCACCAATTCTTGCGGATCTTGTCCCGCTGCCAGCATACTGACAGTGAAGTAATCTGCTTCCTCCGGGCGAG